ACTGGATGGCCCTTGTGGTCTCTTCCAACTCTATAATTCTATGAGTCTCGGTGCCCTGATTTTCATCTGTGAAATGTTGGAGGGCATGTAATGACTGGGGAGATTTGAGAATGGGGACAACTACAGTGGAAAAGCCTGCAATGAGAGTACAGTTAGCCTTTTGTATGTGTGGATATTTTATCCATGGATTCAAGAAAATATACATTCCGAACATTTTGTCACGTTATATAAGGGACACCATTTTATTACTCCATTGCATTTAATAGGACATGAGCACCTACGGATTTTGATATCCATGGGGGATCCTGGCACCCAAACCCTGCAGAGCCCACTGTATTTTATTTTGCTACTCTTGTTCTTGCTTTACCCACAGCACTTCACTCAGCTGCAGCTCTCCTTTTCCTCACTGTGTCCCTAGGGATTGTGACCCTTTCCTACTCTCTTTGTCCCTGAGGTCATTAAGATGGATAACTCTGACCTCTGTGGCAGCTTTGTGGATGGAGGCCAATGGATCTGGATAGCCTTGCAAGGGAATGGGGGTGTGCATGTGCATGTCAAAGAAATGCAGTCTCTTGGCACGTGGAGCACAGAGCAATTTGCAATCATTGGGACTTTTGGAGTGCCAAGACTGGCTGCATGCTGCAGTGCCTTTCAGGCTGTTTGATTTGTTATTGCAGCCTCTTTTGCCCCGGGTTTGGACAAGGCCAGTTGCTTATTGTTTTGTCTCTTAGTATCATGGCTTTGTGACTGTAGGGTCTTGGCTGGTTATATTACAGGGCAAGGGTCTGGTGGTTTTAGCCTGCTTCATGCCACAGGCTCTCCTAGGAGCATTGATTTGTTTTTGTGGGCATTATTTACACTGGACAGCATTTGCTGAGTCCCTGGGCTCCATCTGTCTCTCCTTTCTCCATCTATCACTCTGTAGTCTCCCCTTTCTGCCCCCATCACAAACACAAGCACACACACATCTGTCTGTCAGCTTGTGTCTCATCTAGGGCCATCCTAGATGCTCATCTCCTTTACTGTCTTCCCTTTCTGGCTTATCTGTGCTGTGGAAGGTGAGAATACTGCTGGTGACTTACCTTGCTCTAACTGGGGTTATGTTAGGGGAGAAGCAGACTGGCAGCACGGCGCCACCCTGGGAAGGTGTGCCGCAGGATCGAGGCATCCCCACACCTCGATCCTGCGGCGCTCCTTCCCCGTCCCTGAAAGGAGCGCTAAAATAGCGCTCCTTTCACAAGTCAGTGAAAGTGCGCCGCAAAAGGGAGGTTGCGCCCGGAGCGCCGGCCGTGCGGAGGGCCGGCGGCTCCGAGGGCAACCCCGGGAGGAGGAAGGGGTGCCGAACGTGTGGCTGCCCCTCCTCTTCCCTGCCTCGAGGACGGCTTAATAAGCCGTCTGCCGAGGCCCATAATGTAGGAGAGTGGAAAGTGCAAGCCATGGGCCATGTGAGACCCCTGGACCCCACCTTTACAGCATCTGAAGCTTCCTGCCAGTACGGCAAAAAATTATGGTTCCATTTTTTTTAAAAAAAAAATTGACATGATTTGGGTGCAGGAGGAAATGATGTGATGTCATTTCCAGAGCCCTTCCACACTACACCGTTATAGTGCTGTGCTTCCAGTTTAACCACCATTGTTCCATCTAATGGAATCCTGGGTTTTTCAGGTTAGGGAGGGCATTTAGAAGTCTCAGTTACAGAGCTCTAGTGCTTCAGCAAACTCTAAACCACAGGATTCCATAGGATGCAGCCATGGCAGTTAAAGCAGAATCATAGTACTGTTATGTGAAAGACACCCCCCTCCTTATTCAGAGACATTGAAAGAAAATGAAGGTAGTTTGACACCTGTGTGTGTGTGTGGTCCTTGGTGAGTTTAAGGGGTGAGGGACATGTCCTGGACCCCTAACCATAGTGCACCCCTGTGTTAACTGAAATTGTTTTTTTTCCAATATTGCATAGGAAGTGTTGTTGTTGGTATACACAATGGCTATTGGGTAGTGCTTGACTGCAGCCGGCAAAATATGCTAGTAAAAACTGTAATCCAAGATACCGTTCAAACACCTGGAGCAAAAAAATTCCACCTCCAAACTTAAATGAGCGGCCCAGAGGTAGTGGCAACATTATGATGGTTCTGCCAGACTGTTCTTGGGTTCCAGGTTGTGTACAACCAACTGGCCCTGACAGCAGTCTTGTTTACTCGAAATAGAGTGAAACTGCTTGAACAAGGAGATCCTGGAAGCCTCCTTGCACAGGCCTGTAAAAGGTATAACCTGTGGTGCAACCCACAGTTACAGCTTACAAAAGGAGGCAGCAGTCAAAAACCAAAACCACAAACAAAGTGCTATAAAAGTGCATAGGAGCCAGAGTGATGTAGTGCTTTTAGTGTTGGACTATGACTGTGGAGATCAGGATTTGATTCCCTGCTCAAGTATAAAACCCCACTGGGTGACCTTTGACAAGTCATACTCTCTCAGCCTCAGATGATGGCAATGGCACACACACACACACACACACTGAAGAAACTTGCCAAGAAAACCCTGTTCTAGGTTTGCCCTAGGGTTGTCATAAGTAAAGAATGACTTGGAGGCACACAACTACCAAAAACAAACAAAACAGTTTTTGTGTAATAATAGATTGAAATTATAACAATTGACTCATTTATTTATGTATTTATTTTTGCAGTTTTGTCCCTTTGTAGCATTTTTATCATATCAGAGTTATATGGTGGTTTAACATCCAAATGAAATGCTGACCATAATTTCTAAAATAGACTTTCAGTACTACCGAAACACACCCTGCATCTACAACATTTGTGAATATGTTTGTTGTGGCTTTGTTTTGCACTGCAGTGCAGCTCTGGGGTAACAGCCCAAGAATAATAATATGAAATGCCCCCCAGCAATCCCATAATGCAACTCCATAAAGACACACACACACACACACACCCCTCTGTGCATCACCTCTGCCACGGAAGTGGTAGAAATGGCAACAGCTTCTCTTTTTGTGGCAGTGGCATGTCCCACATGCTTTCAAGACAGAACAACTTTGGGATGACAGGAGCTTGACTCTTGTTTTGAATGGTTGCTGGTACCAAAAAAGCTTGAAATTTACTCTCTAAGGAATTTATCACACAGGGTCAACTGGAAGCATAAATGGTGATTAACCCATCAAAATCATGCAGTCAAGATTAAAACGTGATTAAAACATGATTAACATTTTCACACACAAGAGTCATTATCCTGGGAATAACCAGGTAGTAACCAGGCAACAAACAGCAACAAATTATTCATGGGAAAATCCCGTGAATGATTTGTTGCTGTTTATTGTCTGGTTATTCACAGGATAATAGCACTTTAATTGCATTTCATTGCAACATCATGTGAAAACCATTAGCGTAATTGTGCCATTATCATGGGATATTCCCGGGATGATCGTGCTTTGCACGCAACATCGTTAATCACCATTTATACTTCCAATTGTCCCTGTGTGATAAACTCCATAGAGTACTTAAGCAAGTAATACTCAGAGGTGGTTTTGCCACTTCCTTTACCTGAAATATACTACCCTGTTTTTAGAGAACTGCTGTGCACTA